AAACTTCGAACTGCAGCTCGGGGGAGTGGACTGTCTTGAATGCTGCAAAATGGAATTGCCGGGGTTTTACTGGGACGCAGAGCGTCGCAGGTACTTCCCATTGCACTCTCTGCACCGGCCTTCCTCATCCATCAACCCGCAGCCACAGCAGCAGCAGCAGCAGCAGGTGCAGCAGCAACAGCAGCGGCTATGGCAGCGCCAGCACCGGCAGCACCGCCGAAAGCGGCAGGAACGCCAGGAGCAGCAGTTGAAGCACCTGCAGCAGCAGCGGCAGAATGCAGAGTCTGCCTGCCAGTCCCCTGGAGGGCAGTTAAACCAGCAGCAGGGTCGGAAGCGTCAGCAGTTTGTGCAGCAACGGCACCAGCGGGAGCAGCAGCAGCGAGGGCCCAAGCAGCTGCGTTGCTGTCAGGAAGACAGTAGCCAGCAGCTCCGGTGCATCGTTAGGAGCGGCTTCAGCGTGAACAGCAGCAGCAGCAGCAGCAGCAGCAAATGCAGCAGCAGAAGTACTAGCAGTAACAGCGAATACAGAAGTCGCGAAACTAGCAGGCCTAGCAGCAGCACCAGAGCTAAGAGAAGTTCCTCTTCAGGAAGCAAAAGTGCTGCAGCTGCTGCTGTTTCGGTGGCTTCAGCGGCTAGAGAGGCGGATGTGCCTCCTCCACGCAACCTTTTGTATGCTATTCGCCGGATGCGCCTCGGCAGCAGCAGCAGCAGCAACTCTTGCTGCTGGACGCAGTGGACTGCAGCAAACACGAGGGCGAGGGCTTTTGCCACTGCGCTGAAGCAACTGCACCTGCCGCTGCCTCTTGGCTTTTCACCCTATGTTTGTCTTGCTGCTGCCAGCTCGTACTCCCCTGAGCAGCAGCAGCAGCGGAAGGCTTCTTGCAACTGGCAGCTGCTGCTCTCTGTAGGTGGGGAAGGGGGAGGTCGTTTGCTGCAGTTCGGCGCGACAGCAATTTTGGCGACAAGTGCTGCAGCAGAAGCATCAGCAGCAGCAGAAGGCGCCATCTTGGGCTCGCCCGCCCTCTGGGTTGCTGCATCTGCATCTGAGCAGCCACTGCAGCAGCAACAAGAGCTACAGCAGTACTTCCCAGGCGATAATAGTTACTCAACCCCTGTACGGCAGCAAGGCGCAGCAGCAGACGAAGGCTTTGGTGAGGCTCCTGTTCCTCACGCTGCTGCTGCTGCTGCGTGTGTAGCTGCTGCTGCCCCTGGCCGCCTGGTGGACATTGCAGTGGTGGGGTCTCTTGCCGTTTGCTGTCTTCGCAGCAGCGGCCGAAGCCCTGGCGCTCTTGTAGTGCAGGAGTCGAGCAGCAGCAGCAGCAGCAGACTGCTGTGGGCTGACTGGAATGCTGCAGCAGACGCCTGGGCGTGCGCCTCAAGCTTGTCTGCAGCGCCACCAGAAGCAGCAGCAGCAGCGCCAGCAAGAGAGCCTTGGTTTGTTCTGGCTGGCAGGCAGCCAGCAGCACAGCTGCTGCGGCCACGAGAGGGGCAAACGAGGCTGCAGAAGGTGTGGATCACACCGAAAAGGGCGGAACGGCTGCTGCCGCGCTGCTGTGCTGCTGCTGCATGGTGGTCAGAAGCAGCAGCAAACAACCCGTTTGCTGCTGCTGATGGTGCAGGGGTGGCTCTGGTTGGAGGCCACGGCAAGGGCCTTGTAGCAATAGACCCTCGCTGTGCGCTTCCTGTAGAACTTCAGAAGCAGCAGAGTAGCAGCAGCAGCATCAGTTCTATTGTTCCTCTCCAGACCCATACAGCTGGTGTAGTTACTCGCAGCGGTGTCGAGGGTCTTGCATTGCTGGACTTGAGACGGTTTGGAGGACCGAGGACTCAAGAAGCTTCATGCAGGTTAGCTTCGGTATACTAGAATCCTGATGCACTTGGTGCTGCTTCCCATTCGCAGCCGCAGCACTGAGAACAGGATAATACTTTTGAATTTTCGCTCTTGCCCTTGGGTTCCTTTTCTTACTTTCGAGATCGTACTCTACATTGCGATTGTTAGTAATGTTCATTTTCCGTTAATGCTGTTGCCAATGCTGCAGCCGCCTTGCCGCCTGTACCGTTCGCGAGTTCCTGCCTGTCCGCAGTAGGACTTCGAACACCTTCTTCTGCAATAGCGACAGCAAATGGCGTTTTTCTGTGGACAGCAAAGAGGAGTTAATTGTTGCCCCCTTCCCATTTAGCAGTGGCAGCAGTTACTGCAGCAACTGCAGCAGCGGCCGGGGAAACGGCAGCTTTTTCATATTTGACATTCAGCGTGGAGACTGCTGCAAAGAGATTGCAGCAGCTCCTTGTACATCTTCAACTGACGATCTACCGCCATTCGAGCTGTTCGGCTGCTGCTGCTTACTTCCTCGGGCTGCCGCAGGTTTCCGCGACGCTTCTCACGTTCATCAGGAAGTGCTTGTACACCCAATGCACGAGTCAGATCAGGAGCCTTTCGCTCACATCCCCTCACAGAGGCTACAGAGCTGCATTTGTGGTCGCAAGCGCTATGAAAATGCTCCTGTGGAAGCATCAGGACAGCAACGTCACCAGCCCTTCAGGTGCATGGATACCTGGGAGTGTTTTTGTTGTGACGCAACGCAGAGTGCCAGTATGGAACAAAATAGGCAGATATCTAGTGCATGCTGTGCACTATTGCGACTAGGAGGTTGGCCTTCTCATGCTGGCCTGACGGCTCCCAGGGCTGCCACAGCAGCAGCAGCGGCGGCAGCAGCCGCAGCAGCAGCCGCAAGCGAGGTGGGCGGATCAGTATTCGTGGGAGCGAGTACGTGGGGCCTGCATGTTATGGTAGCAGCACCACCGGATGCTGTATATTAGCAGGAGTTACTATGGCAGCAGCTACCACAGCAGACGTGCCTCGTGGATTACCAAGTGGCTATCCTGTTGGAGCGCCAACATGGGCACACGGAGCCAACGTGGGCACTCGGAGAATGGTTTGTACCTGTTAATAAGCCCCACAAGGCGCATTTCACGTTAGCCAAATGTTTTGTCTTACCAGTCAGATGTTTCCAGCTGCGTGCAACGGATTTGCCATAACGAAACTGATTCCCCCTGTGCCACAGGCAGTTTATCACAAGAATGGTGAATCTGAGAAGGTGGTGTTCCCCTTCTCGCCTTTCTTCTGTATCCTGAGCGACTTAGTTTCAGAGCCGCGTGCTGGGAAGGACAGGATTCAGTATTCTGTAGTGAACAAACCCAAGTGCACACCAACGCTCGGCACGATGCATACGCCTGTACAGGCTACCCGCTTGCTTGCGTCTGAACTCAATTTGTCCACTTTTTTTGGAACAAGAAGAGAGCGCATTGCTACAGAGGCTCGGCCACGTGGGACGCTTTTGCAAGTGCTCCAAGCGAAAGGTCAAGCCAGCGCATAAGCACGAACTTTTATGGGCATTTTGTTGCTTGGCTTGAAGATGCGGAATTAATGCCACTCTCAGTAACTGGCTTTTTTAAGCGATGGTCAAAAAAGTCCTTGAGGTCAGAGGAGACGTGGGAAAGAGCTTGAGAGCTTGCAGATGTTACCCTTTACGTACAACGCGGATTTGGGAACTTAGCCTGCTGGCTTTTGTTCATATGCCACCAGCGTATTTTAGCACGCAAAGCTGTGGGCACATGAGATGCACAAGCTGCCACGTGGACAGTGATTTATGTCGGGGGCGCCACTTTCGGCTGGGCCACGCTGGCACGGCATGAAACGCCAAGTGTAGCTCTGGCATCTTTGGATCATTGGGATGCTGCCTTTTATGTTTTTGCGTTCTTTTGCTTAATGGTCTTGGCGGGAGCATCTCCAGATGCACGGAATCGGCGCGCACGCAAATTACAAGCAAGCCTTAAGCGGCGCATCATTCGATAGTGAGCTGCGCATTCTGTGCACTCTGTACTATTCGTTTCCTGCCCATCTGACTAGCATAATGCACTGACAAATGAGCCTAACACCTCAGCAATGATGGCCTAGAAAGTGTATCCAGCTCTTAAACATTCTATTGTCTTGAAATGTAGAAAAGGATGGAAAAGCAAAAACGCTTGTATGCACAAGTTTTCTTCGGGCCATAGTTTTGTGATCTCTGTGGCATCACAGGTTTAAAAGAACATGCAATCGATCTCCCGTTAGCAGGTTTGTTAAGAGGTGCTGTAGATTGAACGTTGCCAGTTGAGAATGTAGGGAGCAGAAAGGATGACTAGACTGGCCTGGCTCGAAGGCTTCACTGTAGCTTCTTGGACAAAAATGAGTAACTCTAGGAGTTCGTACGCCGAACTTCCAAGAGGTGTTGTGTGTCAGAAGAGAAAATGAAACAGAAAACGGAATGCAGAAGAAAAAACAAACAGTGCCTTAATGCGACATTAGTTAATACGAAAACTGCCAGCAACATTTTTCGATAGGTGTTGTGTGTCAGAAGAGAAAATGAAACAGAAAACGGAATGCAGAAGAAAAAACAAACAGTGCCTTAATGCGACATTAGTTAATACGAAAACTGCCAGCAACATTTTTCGATAGGGCCCAAAAGGCGTTTCGTGCACATGTGGCGAATAGACGACGCCAATTCGAGAAGCATGTATGAGCGTGCATATTCTTAAAACATATGGCTCATAAACGAGCCTGTATGAGATTAAAGTCCTGTGGCTGCATAGCCACAAACCTATAGAATGTCCATGCATCTGCGCTCATATTCGAGCTCATTTAAGCGATTATTTCCGCTCATTTATGCACGGACTCCCGGGGCGCTGGAAACGCACACGCAGGTAGAAAACTACGTAGCAAAAAAATAAATTCATGCCCTGCTGTGCAAGTGTGCATGTGCACACAAGTACTCACCAGACAAAAGGCGACCATTTGAGCCTGGCATCTCCAAGGTACCTCGTGAGCACAACGCGGCTAACTTGAAAAATTGAAAAACCACATTGGGCTACAGAGCCTTTGCCCTGTGGCAAGAAAACAGAACTTTAAACTGCTTTCACCAATTATTGGCTACGTATCGTCAGCAATGTGGCATGAGAGGTCAAAACATAAAAGTTGATTGGCTAGCTTTCGATGAAGCGAGATTGGCGCGCTCTCTGCGCTTCTTGTCATCCAGTAGCACCTCAATGAAGGCTAAGAAGTCGGCGTCCTCATCGACGTTTCGTTTAGAGAAGAGTTTGTTAAATTCATTAGAATTGCTGGATACAACTCTTAAGGAAGTAATGCCTTTGGCTCTTAACCATGCTGCCCTATGCGGATGGGTCTTCAGAAGACCAGGCTCCTGTTTGTCTCGCCTTGTCGGGCGCACTGAGACAGGGTAGGAGCCATGAAAAAGACTGCACATTGGGCTTTCCAAAAGAGAAATCGGGATTTCCATTGGCTGTTGCTTGAGGCGCTCTGCACCTGCCATTTGCTGTCTAGTGGGCGTTTCCGGCGGGCCCGCCGATGTACCACAAGCACATCTCTTCTTCTGCTCCTTCTGATATCCTGCCTCCTCAACATGGTTGTTTTGGTTTCGATTTCCGCTCCATAAGTGGTGCTCCGGGCGTTTCTTTGTAAGCAGTTGACTTTGTAACGGAGGCCTCTGCAGTTCGTTCGTAGGTGGCGGTGATCTGGAGGAAAGCCATAGAAGACCTGGCGGGCCAGCTGTGTCGAACCGACGCAGTATAAGGGGTCGGTTAGGTCTGTTCGTGGGGTCTGGCGTAGGCGTTGTGGGTGTGTTTGAGGCCGGCGACGCGCTGCACGAGATGTTGGTACAACAAACAGAAGGCCCCATAGATATGTAAACTGTTTCTACCTGCACTAATATGAGCTCATGACCTGTTTTAGTGGGCGCTATCACACGCAGGCGTGGCCAACAACGCTTCCGTGCTTCCGGAACTGGACAACATAATGCAGCATCACTCACTTAATGTACCTCCATGGGTGCTGCGGAAAGACTCTGCCTTTATTCATCTCTTTCCGCTCCATTGTGTATTGCTTTCAACCCGTGGACGAGCCGGATTTGGTGAGATGTAAGCTCTGGCGAGTCGAGTCACCTTGAAGAAGGGCGAACACCGTGATACTTGGCCTTAGCCTCCTCTATCAGTGGAGTCTTGTGATTTGTATTTTTTGCCAAGATAGCCCCGGAAACACAAAAGCAAACGGGCAAGAAGCAGTGTGCTTGGGTGCACGTTGCCGCTAGCCGAAGTGTGACCACGCAGCCTCCAAACGAAAAACGGAGTTGCGACCTTCAAGAGTAGATACGGGGCGAAAAAAGCTGAAATACTTCGCCCCTTTTCTCTAAACACTCAAAAGTACGGTTGCAAACAAATAAATTTGACGAAAAAGTGGGGAAAGGCCCTCGACCATGCGGATGCCCAATATGCGAAACAGCGCAGCACCGGCTCGCGAGACTAGGCCGCGACAAGGCAGCACCTTAGCTTGTACCATAAGTTTAGACCAGTTGTTGCCCGTTTTACTTCATCTTCTATTATTAGAGCACTTCTTCGCTTTCTGATTTCAAGAAGGAGGGACGAACTTACACAATTTCAGCTGCTAGCCTTCACCGGGTCATACAGGAGGTTCACATTGCCGTGACCAGACTTCACCAGCACAATTTTCATGACACATCTTCCGGCTTTAACTACCTGCATATTTCTCTAGCACAAATAACACAAACGCGCATTTATAGGCAGCCTTTTTCCAGCACATACGCCCCACCTGAATTTCCACTGTTCAACGCACTGCACGAAAGGAGCAGCGACATCTCAGTGAAGTGACAACATGCAAAGTCTGATACACCAGTTAATTAAACTAACAGCTTTTCAAACCAAAAACAGTGACTGAGTGTGGCTCTTGGCGATGTACAGCAGGAAGAGACACGTGCATTCAGGATCCATTCATACTAGCGAGTGGTACTTTGTTGGAAATGAATGTGACGTTGGTTAGCACGTGAGTGGGGCGTTTCTGCTGGTGGCACCATTTTGGCAAGTGGAAGGAAACAGCGCATAATAGGTAAAACTTTTTACATTCAGAAGGCGCATTGTCGCTTGCACACAGAACTTCCCGCCTGTGCGGATTAGTGGGCGCATCTCAACGGCACACGCCGTTATTCTTGCGAATGGAACATTTATCGAGCAAATGCATGCCGTGCAGCCGCAGTCAAGAATTGTACCTCCTCGTTCGCTATTCAGCGCAACTAAAGCCCTTTAATCTGGGGTAAAATGGCAAATTCACGCAATGGTGATTAGCGTTGCCTGAAGATGAAATGATGACGGCAACGCTTGGCGAAGGCAAGAAATAATTGTGCACGCCGATTATAATAGACAACATAGTTACTCTGGTTCTTTGATATATCCACTCCAGCCGCAGCACCTCAGGAGCCTAGAGTGTGAAAACATATACTCTCTGAGTCCTTTGCGCACACCAAGCCGTCTTCTCGATGGCAGAAAACTCACCAAGGATAGCGAGCATTCTGTGTCTTTCGGAGTAAACGCTTCATGTTTCGCATTTCCTAATGCTCCAATTCGAATTCCACTGTCAAGTGGTGCTAAATAAGCATCATGTCTCTCATAGAAAACTTCGCAAAGACAAGTACCGCTACGCTTCAGGCGGTACAAAGGGTCGAGCAGCATTTGTACGAGCGTTCCATTCAGGTAGTTGTTTTGAATCAGCTCGACTTGGTGAAATAAAAGTAACGAGGCTTCATCTGAGTACTGTCCATGCAGTGCAACATTCGGCATGCACGATAATGGAGAGTCTCTCTACAACGCTTTCAACCAGAGAGATGATTTTTAAAAAGGAGGCGCGCATGCTCGCTCGCTTCAGCTCTGAATGCCTAATAATACTGGCGAACAAATATAAAAGAGCAGATGAGAGTCAGATGAAAACAAATGAGAGGTTGAGTAAACGTAACCTTCCGAAACGTTCGGGCGCATCAGCATAAGTGGCCATACCCGAGCATGCTTGGTGTGAAAGTTAATAGACTGTCAACAGCAATGTTCAATTCCTCTGATACAAAAAGCAAACAAAATGGATATGGCAAGAATACAATTTTTTGTGGAAAGGAAGACATGCATTCGATGAGGGGAGTTGGGATGTAAACGGACGTATTGAACGTGACACCTCACCATTGCTGACGTTCCTCGTTGTAGCATAGAGCAGTTCAGGCTAGAAGGAGTGCTGTCACTTGCCTGGTAGTATCGCCAATAGGTGTATCGAGCACTCTCGGTCTGAATATTTTTTGAGCAATTGGGCATGTTCACTTTATACGTTTCATGCTTGTTCAGGTTCCGTTTGTAGCCCCAATTCGACTGCAATCTCGATATAGTTGCGCCGCTAGTGTCTTCTAGCTTCCTTCCAGCCAGTACTAGGGCAAAATAATGACCGCTGCCAGTACTTTAGCATTGCTCAAGGACGATTTCGAGCACACCAGCTGGGAGGAAGGGGAGGAAGGGAGATGCATGAGCTGGCACGGGGCTCTTGCAAAACATACGGCTACAAAGGCAAGGGCTGCGGAAGCAAAAGCAGTTGGAAGATTTGCCGAATAAAGTCTCACGCGCGTACAGAACTCATGGCAGCTTGCTCTGACACTTGCTCTCTGGTGTGGTTGAAAAAAAAATGACGCTGTGACGCTGGAGGTGTGCTGGGAATTAGATTAGCGAATGACTATCTTAGATTCTAACAGCAGGCAAGGCCGAGGTGCTTTCATATTTTCAGATCATGCCAACCCAGTGGCTAGCCAATAGTTCCCTGGCTGCGGGTTGCTTTAGTCAGATATGCAAACAAACACTGAATATGTTTAACTCGAAAATCTTTCTCACTTAGAAAAAGCACAGATACTCGAACGCAAACGCGCGGTTTCCTTTCTTTTGAAGAAGTGATCATGCGGGATCACATCGAAGATTGATACTAAGTAAAACATGCAACGGTACTGAACACAAAAGTTTCAGGGCATGTATTTCTCTCTGTACAGTGCTCCTATATGAAGATAAAGAGTGGTGACCCTCACCATCCAGAAGGGGCATTTGATGAGAGTTCATGCCGAGTTGCTAAGTGAGTGTAAATACTGAAAGTAGCCTCAGTAGATCAGCCGAACGGCTTAGGGTGTAAAAGTAGATTGTCGCCTTTGAGGGACGCTTTGCCAAATTTTCGCGCCTTCAGCTGTATAGCTTAGTAGAAGGCTGTAATATTAGCTTAGTAAAAGAATGTAACATTAGTGAAAGGTCTAGATGGACTTTCTAAAAGGACGAAATGGTGTGCAAGACTGTCTGTTCGTGACAGTGCGCCTGTCCGATGGCTCACGCCGTACCTTTCGGTTTATTTAGCTCGGGGATTAACGAGTGTTGGGATTCACTGAAAAACACCTTACTCGCCACTAGTTTAAAATGAGGATGTTATGCGCCCTTATTTAATCTTCCGATGCAGCTATACATTTCCAACGACAAAACAGGCTCGCAGATGGAATCGAGCGGATAGTGCTCTTTCTTCAGTCCAGACTAGATGTTTAAAGGGTTTGAATACACAGAGCCTTCCATATACTAACTCAGTTGTCCTTCTGTCCAGTCAGGCCGATTCGACGCTCACTAAAAAGAACTGTCCCGACGGCGGGTCACTTTGTCCACAGAAACCTTTCCGTAGTTGTGTCCTTAGCTTACCGGTGTACCCGTAAACAATACAGTTCTTCTCAAGATTATCCAGAAAAAAAAAGCTCACGTGTTCTATCTTAGCCTCAGCGCTTGCGCTAAAGTTGCTCAGTTCCCCGATTCCCACCGTCACACTGGTGACTTCGAGGCCTGCAAGAACAACATTGGTCGCATTTGCTCGAAGCCTTTGGGCCCTTCTTGAAATAATGACTAATGAAAGTATTTTGTCTGGTGTTTAAGGCTATTTTATGCTTTCTGGTACCATATTATCCACGGATAGGGTGCGCTTAACGCTGGTTGCATCAGGAGGAATGATGCCCGTTGCGGGTATGTTCCGCAAAGAACTAAGGCAAAAAACGGACGCAAACACACTGCAAAGGTGCAAATACACATCAATTGATAAAAGCAACTTTATTGAAGCTATAATAAGGGTAAAGTATATACTTCTGCTCGTCTGATCCTGTGGAGAAAAGCGCTCCTCAAGGCCAGTGAGCAAGCCGTGGTGGCCTTGCCGCCCTTGTCTGCACGCTTGTCTGGACTACAGCTACAAATCGGCACACTTCTTGCTCAAAATCAATTATCGGCTCTTTTAAAAAGGTATTCCGTTTCGCACTTTCCCAATGCGGAGGCCTTATGCATAGCTTGCGTTGACAGACATCGTATCTGGTCGTGTGCTTTACCGATTACAGTGGACCTGAGAGGCTTACTAACTGCCTCACAAAAGTTCGCATGGGCTAAGGCCAAACCAACTGATCAGAGCTACAAGGTCAACGCTCCAATAAATTACAGCGTGCGCTTGACTTCTTCAAGCATACTCAGCTGGCCTTTGGAAGCCACCTGCTCTTGTCGTTGAAAACCACGATAAATTTTCCCGGACAGTGGACACAGTCATACCGGCAGCAGAAGGTCCTTTGAGCATTCAGTGCAGGGCAAGAACAAGTGAGATGCGTTCCATGTTGCCCTTGGAACTGAGATACAAAGTTATGTGCTGTAGTCCGCGTAGCAAGCCATGCTTCATGTACTGGCCCGATCTATAATGGTCTCCAATGACGGTTCATATTTGCTGCTTATGTCTACAGCTTCTTCAACATAAAACAGCTGCTTCGTCTAACCTTGTATACCGCAGCCTGCTTGCATTTTGCCCAGACCG